TTTCTCAGAATCGATGGCGCTGTTTCACCTTCCTCAGAGCAGTTGTACAACCACTAATATGGGAAGGTCATCGATGGTCGTTACACTTTCAGTTTATGAGAACACACCGGTCCCATAAAAGTATTGCACTGCTATTAGGAAGTCGGTGTCGCCGAAACGTCAGTATTGGTTTTGGAAAGAATTACCCACCTTGCGCAAATCATCAAAAGAGAACATTTCGTGAGAGCTCTCATGACACAAGTCGAGGTTTAGAATTGAACTTTTGGTAGGTAAATGTGAGTTCGTGTTATTTTAACTGGCAATATGACAAGGTTAATGTATTGATAGATGTCAATCTACAAGAGAATCATTTCACAGTGATAATACAATAGGGTTACTGTAATGATATGTACATCTGAGCTAGCTCAAGAACGATCGTTCCTTGAAAGATCATGAGTGGTTGACGTCTCTTTAAACATCCATATAACGTCGCCGACTTCGCCTTCCATAAACTTGTCCAACTGGTCAAACAAAAAAGGTTACGTTGTTTTGTGACACCCTATGAAACGCACTCTACCCACTGTTGTCACACTTTCATAGCGTGTGACAAAACACCGACGTGACCTTCCCCATACACAAGTAGTCAAACGACTTTGAGGAAAGCGATGACGCCGAAAGCTATGCGTGGATTTTGGGAGATATACCAACCTTGCACCAGCTTTCAAAACCGGACAGATTGTGGGACACTTGTTTACGCGGAGATTAAGTGAGAGTCGGACTTCTGACTTGGTAGATGTAAGCTTATAAGAGCTACAACCGCGATACAATACGGTTAATATATTGATAAACATTTGTATGTGGTTTCGAGTACTGTACTTATTTTGAAGCTTGCGTAAAGCTGATATATCTTCTTCAAAATCGATGACTGACGTTTCGGCAACTTTGCCATGCTCACAACGGTTTAAATAACTATTGTTTGATAAGAAACTTTTCATTTTTCCCCAAAGGTTTATTGAGAGTCGCACTTCTAACTTCGTAAAGCGAGCTTGTAATAGCTTCAATCTACACCACGTTAAAGTAGATGTATTAGTAGAGTGAATGTGAACCTCTGAAAACAATATGATGACCGCACAATAGTGTTAATGAATCGAAAGACTATTTGTCAATACAATAAGATTAATTTATAAGATCGACTGTTTTTGAAACCTCGCAATAAAAATTCAAAATAATTCCAAAAAAAAAAAGAGGTTGGTACGCCAGGGCCATACACCGGTGTTTCGGAGGTTTCGGCCTCCTCGTCAGTAACCCCCGCCCCACATTAAGCCCTGCACTGTAGCAAGGAGGGAGGGGTATGTGGTGATGGTATAGTGCACAATGACACTGGACCATCACCACTATTCAGTCGATGGATTTCGGCTGTTAGATCAAAATCGACCCATAAGATGGACTGCTTTTAAAACCTCGCAATAAACATTCAAAATAATTCCATTTTTTAAACAAATAATTTGAATGTTTATTGCGAGGTTTCAAAAACAGTCGATCTTATGGATCAATTTCGATCTAACAGCCGAAATCCATCGACTGAAAAGTGGTGATGGACCAGTGTCATTGTACACTATGCCATAACCACATACGCCTCCTCCTTGCTACAATGCAGGGCTTAATGTGGGGCGGGCGTCACTGATGAGGAGGGCGAAACCTCCGAAACACCGGTGTATGGCCCTGGCGTACCAACCTCGTTTAGGATTTAGACATTTTTTGGAATTATTTAGATAAGATTAGCTTATGCTATTGATTACTAGCAAGTAGAGCTAACAACAGACTCTTCTATTTGGGATGAAGTTTAGGGCAAAGGGGAGGATGAACTAACATGGTGACTATCGAGGCCACTTTTCCTGTACATTCAAGAGAAGGCGCACTTTGGGTGCGGCTCTTCAATTTCCTAGTCGTCTACGGTCTGTCATCTCACGTACTAGAACACATTAGCTGACAGTAGACGGTTCGCCCAAACTTGTTTTTCCATTGACCTTGACGTCTTCTTGAACAATTTGAGCAAAATGCGACAGAGAACGCCTATCTCCCGAACAATTTCTTTTCCATTCGTGTTGACGCTTTCACGAAAACGCTGACACTGACAACCACTTGAAAACCCCGCAAACACGAAGCAGCCAAAAAAAAAAGATGACTTGTCCTTCCAACTATCTCTGAGACCTCGCTCAAAACAATGTAATCTGATAACATACTTTGAGCCTTTGATGAAATCTATTATGGCAGTTATAGAGTGCAAGACCTTTCAGCCTCACCAGTTGCATGGTGCCTTTCGATTCAGTCAGTTCCTCACTGATATACCTCGTCAATAGAGGAATCCACGCCGAAATATTTACCCTTGCCGCTAGGTGATAAAATTATCTAACGGGCAGTGTTGTACACTCGACTGCTCGTTGCAGGTAAAACTTATATTGTCATACCTTTCCAAAAATTGCGCTGTCTAAGTGCCATAACAGGCCTCATGAAAGGCTCAAAATATGTTATCATATCATTTTGTTTTGAGCGAGGTCTCAAGAACGTCGAAAAGAAGCGAGCAATCGATTGTACAACACTGCCCCTTGGGTGATCTTACCATCTAGCGGGACGTGTAGATATTTCGGCATCGGTTCCTCTATAAAGGAGATATCTCCTCAGGTACTGACTGAATCGAAAAGCGCCGTGCAACTGATGAGGCTGTAAGGCCGAAACACGTGCCTTGCACTATATGAGTGCCATAACAGACCTTGAGCAAGGCTCAAAATAAGTTATCATAAAACAATAATTGCTTGTCAGGAGCAAAGCTTCTCCTATTCACCTTTCGCAGACGCTAAGAGTTGTTTTCAGCCTTCAGCTTTCCAGAGCCCTTTTACGCTGAACAAAGTTTCTCCGCTAACATTTCTCCATTACGGGTGTGTCTTCTCGATTTCCTGTTCTCCGACGGCCTGTTGTCTAACGTACTCGATCACATCAGGTTGATAGTAGACGATTCACCCAAACTTTTCTGCCTAAAATCGACTGTCGATTGAGCTTGGCACTGATTGAATCACCGGGTGTTTCTTGATGAGTACATATGAAGATGTTAACAATAAGATATTCGACTGAGTGAATTTAACATCGATTATAATCTTCCAAGCTCTGAAGAGGGCGAAATCTGCGAAATTTCAGTCATTGTCATTGCACTGTACTGGACTCAATAAATTTCATTGTTAGCCCATTCAAATTCTCTATAATTACTTACTGCTTTCTAACAATATTCTATTACAAAGTTACATCTGACAGCATTGAATATTCGACCCCAGGCGGGATTTCACCGCTTCATCATTGCCAGGCGGTGCTACCACTTCACCATCGAGGCCATCGCTGTGCTACCACTTATTCTACGGTGTGAACTAACTTAACTGTAAGCAATCAAATATCTGACGGGCTTGGTCGGGCTTATTGTCGTGCGCATTGTTTACTATCGCCTTGTGGAGGAATTGAAACGACGCAGAAAGCGCCCATGGCCCGAACAAATCCTCATGCTTTTCCGTTTCGTAGCACAGATTTTCAAGCCTATCCAATACGCTGGACCAGAAGTTCTCATAAAGACTGTTAGTATCCATTCAAAATCTCAAGGTAGCGCTTTATGTCTTCCGCTCTTTGAAAAGACTTTTTTATAACGCTGAAAAATTTTCAGAGTAAAATTATGTTTCACACGCGCATAGAACTCGCAGTACAGAGCGCTATAGACTACTAGTAACCATTCGATAACGTAAAATCAACGCTGTGCTTGTACTTTGGGAAGACCGGTTCTCTGCAACGCAGAAAGGTAAGTAAGACTGACTCACGTGAGCGAGCAAGTGTTCTGTGGCGGGGGGGGGGAGGGGGGAAAGGGAAGGGGAGCAGTGGAGGTCGGAGTGAACACTGATCGATGGAGCCTAAGTGATGTGTATTTGATTACGAATTGCTTCCCAGCTTTGGAAGAAACTACGGAACGAACGTCTGACTCTGACACCAAAAGATTTTCTCTACACGCTTATGTGCCTTTCGTGCTTACAGCGAAGTGATAGTTAAGCTTGGGGGACCGAAGTGAAACATAATTTTTAAAAATTTTTCAGCGTTATAAAGGTCTTTCCAAAAAACCGAATACGTAGCTAGTTTGAGATTTGAGCTTTCGAAAGAATCTAACAATCTTTATGAAAACTTCTTGCCCAGCGTAGGTGATAGGGCTGAAAATCTATGCTACCAAACGGAAAAGAACCGAAATTCTTCTCCATTCAGGTTGCCGCATTCATGGAAGTTCCAAGTGTGACAATACAAAAAAACCTCGATAACACTAAGCGGCTAGCGAAGAATAACTGTTCATCAGAAACAAAGTTTCCTCGATTAACACTGATAACGGTCACATACAAGAGAAGATCGCAGAAAAAAGCAAAAGAGGACCTCGATAGTACAGTCGAGTGGCCAGCACGCACCTTCGATAAGGGTGAGACGTAGGTTAACTTTTCACCGAAATCATATTTTTGCAAACGCTTAACTCTCTGTATACCTAGTAAGATCGCTGCAAGACATAAAGGAAGACGAATGTAGTTAACAACCTGTGGGCCTATAGAACAATAGATTGCACTGGACCATAGGGGTTTTCTCGCCGGATAAAGTACCGACAACGGTGATTGCGTGGTGAATGAGCGCTTATTCTGCACATATTGTCTGTTATATGCAAAAAAACATGGGAGGATATGTAGGAAAACATGGAGCATTATGATGAGAAGAAAAAACCTCAAAGTCTTCATGAAGCGGAGGAAAAAACTCTATTCAAATGACGAAAATCGCGCGCCGCCTGCGAATCGCTCTGCGCGCAGCGATTTCAACTGCCGTCCTCAAAGTGTGACGCTTGACTTGACCTAGAAGATCATACCAGTTTATTTTTTACACTTTATTGATCAGTCTTCACAATATTTTTTTCCCGGTGCGGATCCCAGTACTCATTGATGTAGAGTAATGTGCAAAACTTTCGCGTCAGGCGGGACTAGAACCCGCACCTCACTCTTTTCAGGAGCGGATACTCTATCCGTTACATTACTGACGCCTATTTTGCACATAGCTCTTTCTACGCTACAGCAAATCTGTCTGCCAGCCGTCATCGGCCCGGCTCGGGTAGTCGGTCTCGACACTGAACCCAGTCACGCTGACAGATATTGGGTATTGAAGATGAAATAAAATTCCTTCTGCTTGACCGCTCTAGCGGTGGTATGATGTTTTCAAATTGGGCGTCAGTAGTGTAACGGATAGAGTACGCGCTCCCGGAAAGGGTGAGGTGCGGGTTCTAGTCCCGCCTGACGCGAAAGTTTTGCACATCACTCCACATCAAAGGGTATATTTGAAAACATCATACCACCGCCAGAGCGGTTAAACAGAAAGAATTTCATTTGATCCTTGATCCCAGTACTTCCAGCGTTCAGTTCGTTGAATTGTCTTCTTCTCGGACGTCGTAGAATACTGACTAAGCGGGTCTCCTTGCAATCTCGAGGATAGCCTGGCTATGGCGTTCCATGGGGCGTTGTTTTTGACTGTCGGAGGTAGCTGAGTGGTAGCGTTCGGCTCAACGAGTATCACAATCACTCGGTCACGGCGCCCCCACAAGAACATACCAATATAAGGAAACAGCAACTATCCGGAATATAAACTTCGTTGGTGTTTGAGCATTCAAGATACTACAAAAGCGAGGTAGCGCAGTGGCAAGTGATGTGGTGTGTCAGGAAACAGAACTGATCAGCAAACTGACAGGTTCGACCTCCCTCCTAGTTCTCTCTTCGAATCAGATGCGAACACCTCAAGGATGCCCTAGGTCGGCCAATTCCAAGATCATATGATGGATCGTTTCCACGAGAACTTGGTGAAAACCCGAAGAAGACAAAATATTCAAGTAGTCGCTAAAGCAACACGCGAAATATATCGTAAAACGAGTGATACTAGAACTATATCACTGAAATAGTGGCAGTATAGCTGTATCGCAGAAAGAGTGGTAGTGGAGCTATATCGCCGAAAAAGTGGTGGTAGAGCAGGAGCCTTGATATTCTCCATATCACTTAACCTGAATGAATTTCGAAAACCTTTGCGGAGAATGAAGACGAGGAAACGAACTGAATTGAATGCAAGAAATCCGGAGATAGGGGAGCAAATTGTGGTAACGGGCAGTGTAATATGACTAGAAAGGTAAGCAAGTAAGCAAATTAACAAAAAAATAAACAAGTACTCATTCCTCACAGTTTCAACCGATCAATAAAAGTCGACACCTCTAGAATCCCATTGAAAAAAAAACAAATAAACAAGTAAATAGATAAACTAATAAATATCATAGTTTCAACCAGTCGATAAAAACGCGTGTGATCTCTGGAGATTTTTGTGGAGAAGGAATGTGAGAAAAAATTGCTGAATTGCAAGAGTTCCGGAGATCAGCACAGTGGAACTGTGATAATGGGCCGTGTACGACAAATAAATAAACAAATAAACAAGAAAACAAATAAACAACAGATAAACGAACCGATCGATAAAATCGATAATTCGCCGACAGTAATGGGGTGGAGCTTCGGCAGACCGACAACCGGCCGCTTAAGGACCTGATTCGACTGGTGTGAAACCATCCTCACTGGCTGAAGTGCGCAACTGACGTGTAGTTCGTTGTCGTTGGTGTAACTACAGACTATGAACACCCATGACGTCTTTATCCTTGTCCTTGTTACTTTTCATGTATATTTTTATTTGTGCGAATCCCATTGTCCAGGAGCGCTAGAGATAGGGCAGAATCACGCTGCGGATCGAACTGGAGCCTTGCTTCCCGACACCACACCGCATCCCTACCTACTGAGCTATCCCGCCGCCCTCCACATCAGTACGATTACCCCTTTGAGAATATTTATTAACCCTTTGGGGACCGCCGTTGATGGAAAGCGGCGTCGCGCTGGTCGCTCGCGCTGATGACGCATGCGGGCAGCATCTGCACGTCTGCAGATGCTGCCTACTGCCTTGCCCCTAAGCGCCGCCATTGCAGTAGCTAAGCGATGGGCTACGTCGCGCGGCGTGGTACGTTTCGTATCACGTGATTCCTAAAGGGTTAAAGTTGGGGGTATGGAAAAGTTTGAACCTCGGGCAGGAGCTGAACTCGCGTTTAATCTTTTTCGAGTCCGCGTGCTATCCTCTGCGCTAGCGGGGCTCTTGTTCTTCTGCCACTCTTTGTGAAGTATGAGTTATCGATTCTGTCAGCAACCAATCGTCAATGGTTTTGGTCGGATAAGCACATAGTGATAGCAAAAGAGGGGTCCCGATAGTGTAGTGGTTGACACACTTACCCGATTGGGTGAGACGCTGGTTCGTTTCCCGCCTCTGGGATTCTAGTTTCAGAGCGTTTTCAGGAACGAAATGAAACTCGGAGATACATTCCCGGCGTTTTCTGCCGTGACGAATCTGGGCAAAATCTACAATTTTCATGATTGGATGGGTGATAGGTGGGTTTTCATGCTTGCTGTAGTTTGAATGCATATCGATTTATTGATTTTTATAGGGTACTAATAGTGTCATAATCCAGAAGAATCGATTTACACCGATCTTATAGCAGTGTTACGTTTTCGTAACGATATATGTCCACTAATGTTAAATGAAACGCAGAACTTTGGACCTCGGGCGAGAGTTGAACCCACGTTCCTACTACTACCAAGAGCGCGTGCTACCACTACACCACTTAGACCACAGCGCTGTTGCCTCTATGCCGATATGACCATACCAGACCAAACTTGTAAGCGGTTGGCTACCGACCGACAGCTTCCGTGCCTTATCTCGAAAGTGTGGTAGCAGAGCACTGACCTCCGTGGTGTAGAGGTAATTCACGCTCCCAGCATAGGTGAAACGCGGGTTCAACTCCTGCCTGTGGCCGAGAGTTTTGTATTCCACTCAATATCCTTCGATACACAATCAGGTGCTTCCGTTTGGTGGCACACATTTTTGAGCTTATCCCCTACGCTGAGCATGAAGTGTTCATGAAGAGTGTTAGAATCCAATAATGTGGAGTGCTTTGCAAAAACGTTTGCGTCAGCCGGGATCCGAACCCAGATCTCTCTTCGGGATCGTATGCCAATCGTTGCACTACCGGCGAGTGTTAGAATTATTCGAAAGCTCAGGCTCTGCTTACTATTACTTCGCTGGCAGCACGAAAAGCCATGAACAAGTAAAGAAAATCTTTAGTATCAGAGTCAGGCGTTCGATCTGAAGTTTCTTCCAAAACGAAGAAACAATTTCTAATCAAATACATTTCATTTAGGCGCTATCGATCGATATTCGCACGGACCCCCCTGCCTTCCCACCCCACCGCGCGCGTGAGTTTGTCAAAAAAGACATCCTCGCGTATGTGAATCAATCTTATTTTTCCTGTCTTTTCAGGATAAAAGCAGCGTTGGGATCGCTAAATTTTACGCTATCGAATGATTATCAATAGTCAGAGAAATATGCGCGCACGAAACTTGATTTTATCAGCCAAGTGCAGCGCTAGATTGAGATTTAGGCTCTAAATGAACACTCTTATGAAACTTCTTGCCCAGCGTAGGAAATAGGCTTGAATATTTGTTCTATTAAATGGAAAAGTGCCTCCAGTCATAACATTGTGAATATTATTGGCTTCTTTTCTGAGTAATTGTGGTCTTAGTTTTCAGCTGGGCTATATTGTTCTCACATCCGGCCGATTTCACCCCCGTATGCACCACGGAACTGGCTCGGGCGGTCCAGATGGCCGGGGAATTCAACAAACGTCAAGTGAAAATGATCGCTCTGAGTTGCGATTCGGTTGAATCGCATCGTAATTGGATCAGAGACATCTTAACCTATTCAGAAGTTCCCGGTCTCACAAGTACGTTTTATAGGAGTTTTTGTGTCTTTTCGAGGTTACTGATGTTGTCTAGTAGCTAAATTCCTAGAAACATGAAAGATAAGGCTTTCGGCGTTAATCAAACCCTAAGGGGTGCTCCATGCATGCGATTCCATTCGTACTATCGCTTGAGGTGATTCAAATCATATCTGGCCTTAACAGTGGCTCGCTAAAGCCAACCGATGTATCATTTCATTGCTGCTATCCTCCCAATCAACTCTGGTACCAATTCGCCAACCCTTGGGGTATGAAGGTATTGGTAAGCCTTTGCCGCCGGATCGAACCGTCGACCACGTGTGTGTCGCAGAGCACTTCAACAATTGCGCCGTACGTGCTCTTACAGTTAAAATATTAGCAAAGATACGCCTGCTCATCATTTTTGACCCACGCATGTCATATGGTCTGTTAAGATGGGATGAGTTATAGAGCCCAATACACGGGTTCCAACCTTGCGGTCTCGTCAATCGGGGTGGGTGCTCCAGTTGGTCTGTTAAGAGGGGCTGACTTTTATAGGCCACATGACATGCGTGGATCAAAAAATGATTATCAAGCATATTAAAATTTGAGCTGATGTCTTAAGAAAACACTCGAAACGAAAGATATGATAAATAAGCAAAGATAATTCTCTTTCGCTAGGATTCGTACCAAAAACAATACACACGATGATCTTCGCTCTTCACGTGGCTTACGGATATCGCCGCGACCTTCAACGAAAATCTGATGCTCATATTGATAAATCTACGTTTTAACCCTGCAAGAAGGTCTGCTGATAGAAAGCGGCGTCGCGCTAATCGCTCACGCTACAGTTGGCGCAGGGGGCCTGATGAAACTTCTTGGGTTCTGTACGGTTATAAGGGGATTAATAAAGGACTGCTCTCATTCTTTGGAGAGGCATTTACCGTAGGAGTGTTGGTAACCATTCGAAAGCTGAGAATTTTTGGGTACAGCCCCATGTGGCTGGTTTTCGAGAAGACCCTTTTATGAGGTTGTGAAATCCAAAATAAAACTATGCCTTAGACGTGCGTACTTCTCGCCGGACGAAGCTCTTTCTTTGGACTGTCAGTAACCTTCTGATAGCAAAATGTTGGCTGATTCAAACGCTGTGTTTATATGTTAAAACACCGTTTGTCTGCAACGCAGGTGGGAAAAGAAGATTGATTCACATGCGCGAACAA